ATGTGCCCATGCCAGGTTTATCCAGACAGGAATAAACAATAAACCCACTCCAATTCCCTGTTTACACCCTTTGGTGTTTGGAAAAGCCCCTGGAGCAGTTCTGCTCCAGACCCTGAAGATGCCTGAGGGAATCAGCCTGGAGAGGCTGCTCCACACCCAGCTACCCAGGAGGAACATCCCCATCCAGGAGGAACATCCTTATCCAGGAGGAACATCCTCATCCAGGAGGAACATCCGCACCCAGGAGGAACATCCTCATCCAGCAGGAACATCCTCATCCAGGAGGAACATACTCATCCAGCAGGAACAATCCTACTCAGGAGGAACATCCCCACCCAGGAGGAATATCCCCACCCAGGAGGAACATCCTTATCCACGAGGAACATCCTCACCCAGGAGGAACATCCCCACCCAGCAGGAACATCCTCATCCAGGAGGAATATCCAGCTACCCAGGAGGAACACCCTCATCCAGGAGGAAGGAACATCCTCACCCAGGAGGAACATCCCCACCCAGCAGGAACATCCTCATCCAGGAGGAACATCCTCATCCAGGAGGAGTACCCTGACCCAGGAGGAGTGCCCCTGTCCACAAGGAGTGCCCTGCCCCATGAGGAGTGTCCTGACCCCCAGGAGGAATGTTCCTGCCCTGGAGGAGTGCCCTGATCCAGGAGGAAGCCCTCACCCAGGAGAAGTGCCCCTGCCCCAGAGCAATGCCCTGACCCAGGAGCAGTGCCCTGCCCTGGAGGAAGCCCTAACCCAAGAGTGCCCCTGCCCAGGAGCAGTGCCCTGACACAGGAGAAGCCCTAACCCAGGAGCAGTGCCCCAGCCAGGAGGAAGCCCTGAGCCAGGAGCAGTGCCCCTGACCCACAAGGAGTGCCCCTGCCCTGGAGGAAACCTTTATCCAGGAGGAGTGCCCTGCCCCAGGAGCAATGCCCCTGCCCAGGAGAAGTGCTCTGGCCCAGGAGCAATGCCCCTGACCAGGAGAAGTGCTGTGGCCCAGGAGCAATGCCCCTGCCCTGGAGCAATGCCCCTGCCCAGGAGAAGTGCCCTGCCCCAGGAGCAATGCCCCTGCCCAGGAGAAGTGC